TCGTAAAGACTTGGTAAAAATATATACTAATTGTTCACTTTAGTTAACAAACTTGGTCTTAATGTCTCCAAATACAATCTTTTCTTGAATAAAATGATAGTCAATTTCAATGTGTTTGGTCCTTCATGAAAGACAAAATTACAGTTAATATGAAGAACAATCTGATTGTCACTTATAAGTGTCATTCGAGTGACATATCTAAATTGTAACTCTTTAAGTAATTGCTTAAGCCAAACAAGTTCATAAGTGGTTGAGGTCATAATTCTATATTCTGCTTCTGCACTAGATCCTGCCATAACACTTTGTTTCTTACTCTTCCAAGAGATTAAGTTACCTCTAATAGAAACACAATATCCGGAAGTAGATATTTTATCAGAAGAAGATCTTACCCAGTCAGCATTTTAATAACAAACAACTTTAGCTTAGTTATTGTGATCATATAACAACTCATTTTCAGGATATCCTTTAATGTATTTTAATATATGGATGATTGCATTTCAATTATCTGTACAAGGAGAATTAAGAAATTGATTCACCACACTAATTGGAAAGAAAATGTCAGAATGAGTAATAGTAAGATAGTTTTATTTTTCAACTAATCTTTTATATTTCTTAGGATCTGAGAGAGGCTTCCTCTAATTAGGTAGGTGTTTGGTATTGGGATCCATGAGTGTGTCAACAGATTTTGAGTTCATCAACCCAGTTTCCTATAAAATATCTAATCCATATTTTCTTTGAGATATAACAATACCATTATTATATTGTGTTACTCAATCTCCAAGAAATATCTAAGTTTGTCAAGATCATTGGTCTGAAAGTGGTGACAAAGGTGTTGCTTCATCTGAGATGCCATGGTGATCACTCCCTCTAAGAACAATATCATCAACATATATTATTAAATAGATACACCTAACACTTGAGTCATTGTACAATTACTGAATGATTAGCCTTACTACGAGTCATACCATTTCTTAAAATACTTAATTAGGGGGAGCATCTCTCAGATCCTGAGAAGTACAAAAGATTAGTTGGACAGTTAAACTATCTTACTCTTACTCGTCCTGACATTTCTTTTGCAGTTAGTGTGATGAGTCAATTTTCTTAATTTTCCATATGTAGATCATTGGAATGTAGTCATCCGTATATTAAAGTACATTAAATAATCTCCTGGAAAAGGGTTGTTATATGATCACAATAACCATGCTAAAGTTGTCTATTATTCAGATGTTCACCGGACATGATCTCGTTCTATTTTAATCATGGTGGATATTGTTGAGTTGATGAAAATAATACATCTTGAAAAGTCTCACATCAGATTGGATAAGCAATGAAGTAGGTGATAGTAGCTATATAATGGGCTTAAAGTTCATGATGTTTCTCACCCCAGTTAAATTCTTACTTTGGAGAGTGTGAGTGTATTTGGGGTCAAAGGACATGAGAGAATTGTCTATGTGTTGTAAAAATTTTCACATAGTGTTATTATCTGGTTACCATTAGGTTGTGGTTTTTCTCTGATCTGTTGGGTCTTTCCGATGAGGGCTAACAACGGGGAGATTCTACAAATGGGACACGAGTCAACCATATAAGAGAATATGACATCATTCTCAATTTAAAACCTTAAAGCATTAGGTTATGAGTTTTTCTCACTTATAAGATACTTAACTTTCTCATTTCTACCCAATGTGAGACTTCAAAATCACACTTGAATTATCAACATATTTTTGTGTTGATTTTTTTTTTCTTATTTCTCTGTTAGTAGGGTAATTCTTGAGGATAAAGACGATGAAGTTCTTCATTACATTTTTTCCTATCATTTTCAGTTTGAAAGAATCGATTATTCATACGTGAAACAAATTTTTCATCAGTTCAAACATACTCGAATTGATTTTGCTCTAACAGAAAATTGATTCTCTGTGATTCTCTCTGTCTCTCTCAACCAGTTTCTCGGCTAAGCACCACCAATACACACTGCACACTAAACCAACCTCAACTAACTCACCTCTCATAGACAAATCATACCAACTCATTTCACATACGAGATAACAACTTACCTCCGTGAACAAACCCCTCTTATGTATTTAATGACACTCTCGCTCGCTGGGATTGGAAAATAATTATAGCTGAATATGAGGGTTGTGGTTATGCTACAACAATTGCCTGAATGAAAGGGATGCATGCACCCTCTGAAATAATTCCCTGGTCATTGTATGCATTCATAGAGCCACGTGAATATTGTAGTTTTACACTGTATGATAGATTCTGAAAGGAGGGCAAGAGTGTAACTTCACTATTCTTCCCCTTTTTTTCATTATTTTTCTCTTCATGTATGCGGGAACCCTTCTTCCCCACTTTCCCTCCAATCTATTCGCACCTTTCTCCTCAAATTGATGGATACAAACACCAGAAATCCGCGTTTTTCCATCTGTCTAAACAATAAATCTATTAAAACAAATACAACGTTAATTCAAACAACTCTACTTTTACCTTTCTTTCCCTTCAAATCTATTTATTTTCACTCCTTCAAATCCATCTTTAAATTCAAACACAAAAAGATTTCAAAATATTTTAAATATTTTTTTAAAATATTGCGATATTCTATCAATATTTCTATACATAAGAAAAAAATCTCATTATAATCCAGATTATTAAGATTTTTAATAGTGAGTAAAAAAATTTACATATACTATTATAATTTTTTATCTATTATTATTTGATGATGAAATATAATTTCAAATGTATATTAGAAATTTTAGAGTTTTATTTAATTTTAGCTATGACTTTTCATTTAATTTTTCTTTTCAATTTTAAAAATATTTTTACAAAATAAATTATTTTAAAATAAGTTATAAAAAAATAATAACTAATTTTAAATTTTGGTTTAAAACGACATTAATACAAATATAAAATTTTTAGTTTTTCAAAATAAAACACAAAAAACATTTTCAGATTTTGAAAAACTAAAAAACATAAAACTATTTAATAAATAAATAAGTTCTTATATTATCTGTATCCATATCCATAAAATCTGAATGCCAGTTGTGCCATTTGTTGGATTTGAAATCACATGATCCTACGGCTATTATTTTTGGTGGAGAAGGTAAGAGAAAAAGTGAACTTGTAGAGGATTGCTTACACCTACACGTGAATGAGACCCTGAATGACAATAATAATGATTCATTCCAACTGCAAAATCCACTCTTTAATCATTCATATATATTTTCATTATTATTAATGTTTGTAATTGGAATGCAACACTCTTACCCTAAGCCAATTATAATTCACCTCTCTATGCAAAAGTTGGAACATTAATTCACTGAGTAACACAATAATCGTTTTTTTACTAGATCCAGCTTCACTGGTATTATTTGGATTCTTATTCTATTATTTAAATCAAAGGTAAAAAAATCTAATAATGTACAGCAATTAGTAAACTATTATATATTTTGTTCTTAAAATAAGTGAAATAAAAAAATATAGATTTAAGTTGAACAAAACTTTATGGATCAGATTCAAGATTTGATATAGATTTAATAATTCGATAATAAATTGATTCACTTAAAAGACTTTTGGGGTTAGAGATTTAGATATTCTTTCATCTTTTTAAATTTTTAATCTTTATTATTAATGTAATAACAATATGTGATAAATGACTTTTAGTATTTTAATATTTTTTTAAAGGTATTAAAAATCCAAGATCGATATTTAATAAGTTTTAATTATTGTCTATTATTTTTTTTATAATTATATAAATTTGAATTAAAAAACTCTCATTCGTAAGTTTTTGATATATATTTATTATTTTGATATTTATAACTCAATTTTTTATTATCTTAAACATTAAAGTGTCGTTACATGACATCATCTCTGGTTTCAATACTCCCTTAAGTTCGACCAAGTTAAATATTAGATGATTGTGATAGTTGAAAATTTTCACGGTCTAAATTATGATTGTCCCCAAAATAATCATTTAGTTATACTTCTTTTATTTCACTTTTTGTGTAAAAATATATATCTTGAAACTTTTTTTTAAATATAAAGCATATTTTTTTAGAAAACTATGAAATTGTTAATTTTTTTAACTCACTTTTCCATAAGTAGTTGTCTCAGTTTATTTTGTAATTCTTGTTGTGACTTCTTGTTAATAATCTCTTCCTTCATTTGTTTAAAATCATTTTGCATTTTTATGTAATTTTTTAATAGGAGATGACAATAAGCTTCTTATCATAATTAAGTTTCAATACAACACAAAAATACGATGAAAATATATATATATTATTTGAAATTTTTTATGAAATTTGTATAAAATTATTTAGCCATGTCTTAAAAAAAACAATATGTTCATGATATTATTTTAATTAAAAAATCATAGAGCGTGCAATTTTTTTAACATTATTTTACATTGACTGTTAGGTAATTACCATTGCTAGTAAAAATTTACAGTAATTTAAATAATAATAATAAAAACTATAATAACTATTTTTAAAAAACTTTACAGTAAAATTTCGAAATACCACTTTTTGACATTGAAGTATTTATTTTTTTAATACTTAATTACCATTGGTAATAAAATTTTATAGCAATAATATAATAAATCTTATTTATTTCATAATTTACTTAGAAATAATAAATTATAAAAAACAATTTATCAAAATTAAGGTGTAGAGAGAAAAAATGAAGCAAAAGCAGAGAAAATGATGGTTGTGAAATTACGAAAAGGAAGAAGAGAGAGAGAGAGAAAGGACTTTACATGGAATTGATCTGATTCGCCACGCAGCTACGTATTCCAATTGATCCCGCAACCAATCACTCATTTCCACGACCCCACTTTCATGTCTTCGCCTTACATTTGAAAACCACGTTAACGAACCAATCAATCGACACGTAAACGTCTAATTTACCTGCTACCTCACCTCAAATCGGTCTTCAATACTTCGTTTGCTTTCTCACTCTTTCAATTTCTTCAACTCTGCAAAATCCCTCACTCTCTTCTTTCTCTTTCTATGGCATCTGCAGCTACGCGTGTTACGCACTGTGAGCTGCGGCCGGTGAAACCGGCGGTTCGGGGAAGAGAACCGGGCGGTCCGCCTCAGGTGACGATTCCAAGACCGAAAGCGGCGGAGGCAGAAGGGACGAACGCGAACATCGTGTTGCAGCCGCGTCTGTGTACGCTGAGATCCTACGGTTCGGATCGAGTTGGCGTCATCAAGACTCGCAGGGACGGTGGCGATGACGTGTTGCCCTTCTTCGCCGCGCTTTCTGACTATATCGAGAGCTCTAAGAAGAGCGAAGATTTTGAGATCATCTCTGGTCGTCTAGCAATGGTATATATATAGTTACCATAAGTTTTACTTCCAACTTTTCATATATAGATAAAATAAAACACTTTAAAATTGTTGAGAGTGGGATTTGAACCCACGCCCTTTCGGACCAGAACCTTAATCTGGCGCCTTAGACCAACTCGGCCATCTCAACTGCGATGCTTTACTTTTAATAAACAAGTAATCATTAACAATTTTCATTTTAATGCCTGTGTTTCTGTGCCACATGCAACAATGATATAATCACTAGCTGGGGCATGCAATTCAATTCAAACTCTCTCTTCCTTTTTTTTTTTGCTTTTTTTATAATATATTATTAGGTTGATTTGATATTGGGGTTGGTGCAGATGGTGTTTGCAGGAACAGTGGCAATGGAAGTGGTGACAGGGAACTCTGTGTTCAGAAAGATGGATATTGAAGGAATCACTGAAGCGGGTGGGGTGTGTTTGGGTGCTGTAACTTGTGCAGCACTCTTCGCATGGTTCTCCAGTGCACGAAACAGAGTTGGTCGAATTTTCTCTGTCAGCTGCAACGCATTCATCGACTCCGTAATTGACCAAATCGTTGATGGTCTTTTCTATGAAGGGGACCCTACTGATTGGCCTGATCAACCCTGATCAAATATTATGATTTTTACCATTTTACACACTTTGCACATTTAAAGTGTCTAAAAATCATAGACAGGGTTAGAGTTAGATGTAATTCTAGTATCTAGAATTATTCAAATATAAATATAGTGAGAGAGACCGAATAATAGCGAAAGTACTAAAAATAAATGATGCTGAAATATGTAAGCTAATGTTTCTTAAGCATCGATAGATGATGAAATGAAATGGGTTTTTATCAGCTTGGGGTATGTCATTCAAAACCTCAAACCTCTGACTGTGTGTGCCGCCATTTTCAATTCTGTATGATCATATCTCCTTCTTGGAATATGCAAATACCACAAGACTCTCACACTTCTAATTACATGCATGAAAGGGAATGCTAACAGGATTCGTGGACAACGGGTTATGTCAAAAAATAATGGGAAGCTGAATGCACATTATTGTAAATTTGGATCATGAGTGAGTGATTATGAACAAGAAACAGCTTAAAATTGTAATTTGCAATTCACAAACTTTGTTTATACTATAGTTTGATGTATCCCGTATCCGCTCAACTACTGTTAAACGTGGAACTATGCTGCATTTTCGATTGTCTGAATGCACTCCAATACGCTTGCCTTCTTTGCCATTGCTTCCATTAAGGCTTCATGAAGCACCTTGTTATTTTTCAAGAGAGAAGCAGCAAACAGAACCTGCAAACATGAGCTTTTATGCATAAAAGCGCGCAAATTTAGGGGTACATGTATTCTTAAAGTGACCAAACTGTAAATATATATATTATTAGAGAACATACAGCCCATCTTGTGAGATTTTGTTGCTGATCTTTGCTGAGTGGTGGCTTGGATCTGTTAATAAATCTCTGCAAAAGAAAAAAATTCTTCTGAGTATCAGTTTTTGAGTTAATAGGGTGTTGTATAGTATCACATCTCACAAAATAATTGAGATTTCTAACCTGTAGAGTGAAAAGATCAGCAGATTGACCAACCACCTTGTCAAATGTTAAACCTTCTGCTGCCAGTCCAGCCATTGACACAACAGCTAATCTGATACCAACAAAGGTAAATTACAACTACGCCAATTTCTTCAAAAGTTAAGTCGTGTGGTTACTGACTTTTTCAATTTGTTTTTAAAAAAATAAAATAATAAGCACATTGGTATTTGGTTCTTGAAAAGTTATAAGTAGGCATGGCTTTTTCTTAAACATTAAGTAAGAGCAATTAAAGGGGCCTGGTAAGTACCTATCTAGCTCTTTGGCATCAAGCTGACCGCTATAGATGAGCTTTTCAAGCCTCTCATCAATGAGATTGACATGTTCTTTCCCAATATCCAGTGAATAGCCCAAAATGGGTAAGCCAAGGAGATAAGCAACTAAAATGAAACAGAATACGAGTTAGAGTCACAAATATCTTATGCTTTGTGCATGCAAGTCAGCCAGAAAAGAGAGAGAAGGGCAGTACTCAAAAAGTGAGCTGCTTCATGTCTGGCAATCCTCTCTTGATAATCAGGAAAAAGTGATGAGAAGCTGCTAATAGCTGCTTGGAGAAGCCTACACTATCAACTTAGAGCATTAATGTAAAGCAAATTAACACTATAGAGGGGGGCACCCATCTCTACATGGTAAACACAATAATTAATTTTTTTCTTACCCTGGGGATATGCTACCAACAGCCAAAACCACTAAGGAAATACTCCCAATCAAGTATGGAAGAAAAAACCCCCAGTCCTACAAGAGTCGGCACACATAATCAGAGATGCAAACAAAAGTCAAAATTCTTTTAAAGTCTGCTTGGTTGAGTGAATGGAAAGTAGTAGGATGAAAATGATCAGGAAAAGTATTTTCAGCCATTTTTTTTTTTCTGTTTTCTATAAATATTTAGCTATACCAACCAAGTGTAAAAGGATTTTCATTCCAAAAATTTTCCCTTCCCCAAGCACAACCATGAGCTTTTTATAATATACAAGGTCATAAACTAAATGCATGAGTAACAACAGACAATTCTTATTTGTAGACCACCAAAAGCATAAATACAGTCTCAAGAATCATCAATGTTAGCAAATTGTCCAAATGAAGTAGAATATATTCACTCCTGTTCTTATTATAACACATTTTAAAAGAAATTGTTGGTGCTTTTTATAAGGCATTTTATAATTTTTATATAATCTTGGACTTTTTTTGCTTGCTTATTCCAATTAAATATTCTTAGTATTTGCGTTTTGTATTAATGAACATAGTGAGAAGAAAAATTTAAAAGTATAGGTTAATTTGGTGGTAATAATTTTAAAAAAAATCAATTAAATTAATTTTTATTGTTTATGTGATAATGTAAGAACTGTCTTGTATTAAGGACCATGCGTGTAAGAAAGGAAGTAGTTGCTTAATAATCTTCCACTTTGTCGGCTATAGCTTATTCGATATCATTACAGACATACAGAGAAAAACAAAAGTGTGTTAATGATACCCCGGGAAGCTGCCCAGCCAGAACAGCAAAAAATCCAGTTGTTCCAACCACAGTAGAAAGAAAAGCTGCCTGCATCATGAAATATTTTTGTTTGGTTAAGAATGCATACAATGATACAACTCAGGATGGAAAGAAACTACTGGTTTCCACTTGTTCAAGTGTGAGATATTTGCATATTACACAATAAAAAAACTGTTCATTCCATTTGATACTAAAAATAATAAAGGACTTCTGAAACTCACATCGTTTCTAACACTAGGAATTGCAAGGTTCTCTGCGTTTTTTATTCCTAGACTTGTCAGCTCTCGTAGTGATGTCTGGTACACAAATTTTGAATGGTGAAAACTTGTATGAGTGATGAATTAGCTTACATATGAATGAGTAGTGGAAGCACTGGACAGGTATACATGATTGATGCTATGTCCAAGAATGGTTGATGAGAGCTTAATGTTTAGTTGTCACTTTGCCACATTTGTAATTGGAGACTGACCGTACGACGTGAAACATATGGCTGGGAACTCCATTTCTTGGCCCAACCAACTTCACCGAGCTGATTAAGTGCCTCTTTAACAGCATCACTGTCTTTCTGCACCAAAAAAGCACAATCTCTTTAACTGCCTTATTACTGAAATATGAATAACTTTTTAACGGGGCCTAAGAATCTAATTTGATCTCAATTTGTTTTTAACTTAAGCTTATTGTAGTGTTCTACTACATTGTTCAGCTGGTATCTAACAATTAACAAACATAGTAACTGTGTTGTTACTTGTTATCCTTTGGAGTGAAAAGCATAATAGAAAGTTGGTGCTAAATCCATACCTTGGAAATGGCAGATTGGAGAGTGTTGAGGTCGACCCCAGGGGCAGCAGACGAAGCTCTAGTTGTCCATTTTGGGAGGCTGATGTTGAAGCATGTTTGATGTTGATAATGGTAGTAATAAGGCTTGAAAAGAGGAGATGAGTAAGCCATGGTTGTCACCCACATTATCCCTTTGCTATCTACTCTGTATGTTTATTGGAGGGGGTAGTTTGGTGAAGATAAGGACTATGCTTCGTTGATAGGACCAACCAAAGGATAAATGAAGGGGAAAAAAAATAATAAATTTGTTGAGAGTGGGATTTGAACCCACGCCCTTTCGGACCAGAACCTTAATCTGGCGCCTTAGACCAACTCGGCCATCTCAACTTTGATAATCATAAAGCAAATAAAATAATTAACATAGTTTCTAATGTGTTCGGAGTTTCCTTATCTATAAACAAATGATGTTAATGGATTGAAATGAATGATGTTAATGGATTGAAAGATATAACTATACGTGCATTTTCAGATTTTCTTATGAAGGACTGCTCATGCATTCGATCAAGGGCCTATTTGACAGAATAATAATGTCTGTAGAAGATATGTGTTTCAGTTAAATTAATGTCTAGGAGAGGAAAGAAACTAATTTGAATAAAACCATCTTAACCTAATGGGTTGGTCAAGTTATGTAAGATAGAGTTTTGTACCTCACGAATGATAAGTTACAATTCTCACTCATATGTCTGAAGTAAGATAAGCATATATTTGGTTTTGCAGCATAGTGAAGGAACTCAACTTTTCTTGTACACTCTCCTAAATTTGTACATTTTCACTCACTTTATATCTCTCCACACCATTAAACAAGTGTTAAATGTATATTCTGTGTTTTTTTAATGTCTGGAGATTTTTCTTACCGTGCTTACACCAGCCCAAATAAAAGAAAAATCGATCAGCCAGATATAGGATTTTACCCAAATTAAGAGCAAAACTACATCAGCAAGGCTGGTAAACGTTTTAGGTTTGATCTTGGATATTATGGACCTTTCTATTTTGACAGGAGATATTGTGTGGAGTTAGATCCATCAAAACTTCTTTTAAAATGATATCAACCTAATATGAAATAAGATTTTCTCAACAGCACAAATTACTAATGAGATGCTTGCATCACTGCAATTAATAAGATATTGTGACTGCTTGAATACGAAATTTGTTTTTAAAATTGAAAAATAGAAAAATGATAACTGACAAGTGTTTTAGAAATCTTTCGTACAGGAACAAGCATAGAATTAAAAGTATTCGAGTGCAGCTTTAGTTTACAACATACAAAACCTTCTTAGAGGAAGGCATACATATATTGATCAACTCAACTCGCAAAGTACATAAATTGTTTTCCGGTAAATATATATATATATATATATATACATCAACAATAAAGAGAACATAAATTCAATACGATTGTTATTGGCAATCATGTTATGCTAATTGCAAAAACAAATTACGCACAAAACACTAATTACTTCCCTTTCTTAACAAAGAAATACTGCACAACAACAGGTAGATTAAGGTCCAAAACATGACCTAATTGAAATTGTAAATTGTACAGAAAAAAAAGAAATGTATGAACAATCGAATGAAGTTTGTGACCAAAGTTGGTATTAGCATTCTGCATAGCTGCCACCTTCACCCTTCAAAAAGTTGTCAATTTGTTCCAGCGCCTGCAAGATATAAATGAATAACTGTACATAAGCATCAATGATACAAAAGTTAGACTCAACTTTAGCTCCCAGGAATTTTTCAGTTTGCCTGGAGCCCCAACCAAATAGGGTTAGAAATTGCTCAAGACCTCAATTGCAATATCAGTTGGAGACAATTCGGACACATCTCTTTTGCCCAGTTTTATTGCTATATCTGGCACAAACAGAACATTAGATATTGCAGAGAATTGTTATCATCCGGGAAGCATAAACAATAAATACAAAGCATGTTATCATCCCATATATTCGGGATAATTCCACATGTTGTATTTCAAAACATGAAAGAAAGATTAATGGACATACTTTTTAACGAGACCCTGGCATTGGCATTGGCATATGCGTCACCTCTCTCTTCAAAAATAGCAGACAATAGCATAAATGCCTGCATGTGAATTCCAAAGGGAAAAAGTATTTGGAGGAAAATTAATTTTGATGCAAATTCGTAAGATGACAAGTTAAGTCAGCTTGGTAACTTTAACTCTAGAGTTACTATGTTGTGTTTAGAAAAGACAAAATAAAACACTCTTACAATTGAACACTAATAATTACCCGTGCATAAGGATCCCCTGCTTCATAGTGTAGAAGGGGGCGAGAATTAGTTCCTACAGCTGCAATTCTCTGTGCCAAGGCTTCCACTGGTACGTCCAACCAAACACTAACCCCCTTGTGCATATATTTCCTGGAAATCCATTCACATGCAAGTCCATGTACAGATGAGAAAAGATTGAATTGAAAAAATGTGAAGTTTAAACTTTTCTCGGTATTGAGTTAATTCTTATACCAATTTATGGGCCTTATAACAGCTCCTCCACCAGTAGAAATAACAAGTCGATGCATCAGGGATAGCTTCCGCAACACCTCAGTCTGAAATGGTAAAAAGCAAGGAAAGGAATGGTGAATGAAATAACAGAACCACAAAAATGATCCAGATCAATTCATGATAGCATAGTGTATATGGAATTTAGAGAGGAAGTAAGAGAAATATAGATAGGATATAATGGAGAGCAAGATCTGGACTAAAAGCTTTCTTCATTAGTACTTCGATTATGCAGAAGTCAAAACATCCATTTATACACACTGGAGGATGTGGTACAATAGAAGTTTTTTCATACGTGCAAATCATGATTTCTAAAAATCATGAATAGTGGGCATTATGAGTCCTAAGAATAACTAAAATCTATTTAGTTTGTCATAAATATTCTTGGAAATATTTATACATGTTTATGCTTACTAAGCTTAATTATTTACCACATTTTTTCAACAGTGCCCCTCAAAGCTAAATGCTTACTAAGCTTTATGCTTGTTAACAATTTTTTTTCCTTAGTGAAAGAAAAATATATTATGGATTCCACTAAACATAGTTGAAAAGGAAACATTGAAGTGCTGGAGACAGAGAAGTTAGAATTGCTGGAAAGACAACTAAGCAAGCACTTGGAACTTTTCCAAATTCATCAAGAACTAAAAGCACATCAAATCAAGTGAAGTGTGAGATGAAATACACAAAACACAAGTCCAAACTCCAAACCACAGATGGAGGATGGTGAAGTTTTTCTGAGGTGACGAGTGGAGATTTTACTCAAAGGAAAATTGACTCAACTGGAGCCTGACACTGCAAGAAATTGAGATGGCTGGAAAGTTGCTAGAAGGTCACCAGTTGTTGAATATTACTGGACAATGTTGCCAGAATGGATTGACGGCAGAGTAAAGATTAATGTGAAAAAGGTGGAAAATAGAGAAGAACGCCACTGGAATGAGAGGAGAAAGCTACACAAAATCAAAACACTTCCATATTTTGGGAATAAGGCAGCAGAATGGTATAGCTCAATGGAACAGGGTATAGCTCAATGAACATATGGGAGCTCATGGCACAGCCAGCCACTGGCTCAAGCAAGTGCCAACAATAACAGAGGTATCTGGCCATCAAAGGCTCTCATGACAATGCCTGGTCAACTATGATTGTGTCCAAGATATGGTCATAAACTAAATGTGGGCCACTTCTCTTAGTACGGATTTGAATGTGATTCACTACGTTGCGGATGACTAATCCCTACAACTAGATTTGACCTCTATTGGTTTAAAATGAATTGCTCTTAGTCTCTAATGAAGGACTACAAACATATTACTAAATGTAAGAATTAAAAATGAAGAAGAGTGGGGATTAAAATGAAAAACCATATTTCCATTTTTCAAGGTCTAAATGCTGGATGAGATAAAAGAAATAGAAAAATATAAAATTTCAAAACAACTAAACAAACTCTCTGTAGTCTGGACACTGAAGAATGACAAGTGAAAAATAGTGTTTTCAAACTGACCTCCTTGTTACGAAAGAAAGGCTCACCATGGTGCTTGAAAATATCAGCAACAGAGTTTCCACCAACCTCCTCCTCCACCAATGTATCACTACGAAGTACAACCCCGTAAGTGCAAAATATAGAGAAAATATTCAACAAGACCTCTAATGTGGTTATGAAACTCAGTAATTGTATTGTGATAGAACATGCACATTGTAGTATAAGGATCTGAACAGAAACAATGTACAGCAGAGTAGACCATACTCCCCAGCTTAACCATGACCTAACCTGTTTTTATCTATTGAACTCAATACAATTGAACATATATAGATCGTTTACAAATATTAATTGAGCATTGAAGCTCGTATCCGATACAAAAATATAATGAAATAATTGCACAAATAAAAATAACAGAACTGCTTTACTGGGAAAGATCATTCTTTCAGTATTCTACTGGTCCATTGGATATTCCAATTACACATGATTTTTTTGTTATTAAATTCATTTTCTCTCCTTGAAGAAAATATGAGGAATTGACATACTAACCTATCACAAAATGAATAACCAAGTACTTGTGACATTATCTTCCCCACAGTTGTTTTCCCAGAGCCCATCATTCCTGTATGTCAAATTCAAAGCGATTTTAATGCCGAAGTAATTTCCATAGAATACCATGTAAGCACAAGAAGTCAAACAAGAAACTGACCAACAAGATATATACAGCGTCCATTTAAATATGGCTGGATCTCTTGTGATATATTCTGCAATTTTATTGATTCAAGTAAGATAACAACGTACACATACTTAAAGAAGCAACAAAATTGACCTATTACTAATTTATGATGTTTTTCGTTGCTATTATTGAGGCTTATATAACATCACCAGAATGAATTTGCTCAATTAATTAAAAATGACAAACAGAATCAATGCATCATGCTTTTACCTTTAGAATCAGCTCTTCATCAAGAGGAGAACGAACATTCCCAGATTCCAATATTGAAGCTAAAAGAACAACGCGATAACATAAGTAAACATTCAAAACAGATAGCACTTGTTTTAGTCAGAAACAAACAAGATCCAATGCAAGCATATTACACACTACTGGTCTATTTGGATACAAGTTAAAGTGCAAGGTATTCTC